TGTGCAGACCAGACCTGCTGCACTTATTTCTGCTTGGGAGATCTTGAATTGAAATACAACGATCTTACATCTCATTCTCTTTCACAACATTAGTTTAAGAATTGGTGAAATGCATTTACAGTGACGGGTGTATCACATTTTCATTACATTTTGCAAATGATATATATGAAGAAGTAATGCATGTGAGTGCTTCAGGACAGTATCCAATGTTCTCCTTGTCCTGTGTGAAAACTTGTATTATGTGCCTGTAATCCACACCCATTGAAGAGTGTCAGAAGTTGAAAATTTGTCAACCCAAACCCCTTGTATCAGAAATAGGTACAATTTGTTGGAGCTACAGAAGACAGATGGCATAAGCTTTCCTTATATTACTGCATGATTGCTAAATGGCAAAGTTTATACATAAAGTTATATCTTTGAGTTTACTCCATGAAAACAGCGGTTAAAAAGCTTTGTTTGTAGTAGTACTGTGAAAGCCAGTACTTTGTTTAACTATATAATCTTACATGGGACAATGTAGTACAACACTTTTCCTTTCTCATCATTGATCCACACAACACTCTCCATCGTTGCTAATTCATGGGAAGGAAAATCTCTATGGCATGGCTCTTGGCATAGCATAAAGAAACCATACCTGCAGTTATGTGTATTATGATCTTTTAGCGTACTTGTACACCTCTTTCTTTTGTCTCACAGTTGGGAGGAGGGTTGGAAACCCAGATTTCCTCAGCCGCTGTCAGAGTTCTGTTATGTGTCTTCAAATAACTCAGTGCAGTTACAGCCAGCAAAAGACATGCAGTTGGCTTAGAAAGAGAAAATGATTGGTGGCTATCATCTGTAGCAAGGAGTTGAAGTTGGGCATGGACATGATTTTTATTGTTTAAAAGTTTGCAATCCATTGAACGTAACATTCTGGAAGAGAAGTTATCACCATACAACTTTCATAGAATCATGGAATAGTTTGTATTGGAAGGAACCTTTAAAGGTCATCTAGTCCAACCCTCCTGCAATAAGAAGGGACATCTTCAACTAGATCAGGTTGCTCAGAGCTCCATCCAACCTGAGCTTGAACGTTTCCAGGGATGGGGCATCTACCACCTCTCTGGGCAACCTGTGCCAGTGTTTCACCACCCTCATTGTGAAAAATGTCTTCCTTATATCTAGTCTAAATCTACCCTCTTTTATTTTAAAACCATTCCCTCTTGTCCTGTCTTGACAGGCCCTGCTAAAAAGTCTGTCCCAATCTTTCTAATAAGCCCCCTTTAAGTACTGAAAGGCTGCAATAGGGTCTCCCCGGAGCCTTCTCTTCTCCAGAGAGAAGAGAACTTCAACTTACGTAACTTTAATTACGTTAACCAAACATGGGGAGTTTTTTTTTTTAAAAAAACCATGAATATGTAATGTCTGAAGTATTACAGTACCACTTCCTTCTCTAGAACTGTTCTAGGGCTGTGCAGGGGTTTTTTTGCAGTAGGAGATTTATTCTTGCTTCCATGGCAGCTGCCTCCTCTTGAAAGCTTCTTCCTGATACTTTTCATGTAGTAGTGCTGCTGCTTCTTTTTTGTGAACATTACAGTCTTTCTTGACATTTCGGCGTTGAGCTTCAGAATCTCCTTGGCAGTAATTTTAGCACCATTTTTGGGCTACTATTATTTTTATTATTCATTTTAAGTATCTATAAAAGATGTAATAGGATTTGCCACCTGTGTATCTAATAAGAAAATGCTTCTGTAAACAGAGCTGTCTCAGCGTGCATTGAGAGACAAAACCTGTGCAAGGTTTTGAGCTGGGCTGGGGCTGCCTGACACAGCTACCCATCCTTTCACAATCCCCTGCATATTGCTGTAGTAAGTCAAGGCCTGGCTACAGCCTGTTCTTTCTATGGTAACCCTTCCTTAGTGTTAGCAGAAATGAAGACAATTTACAAATGATGAGCTAAAAACCACACCAAACAAAAACCAGCTAAGTTTTTTGTAAAGTAAAACCAGAAGTTTTTTTGTTTCAGCAGAGAAGGGTGTAAAGGACCATACTTCACTGTACCCCTTGTCTTACCCAGCTTTGTGGCTTTTAGACTTTTAGCCACTGAAACTTAGTATGTAAACCCATTTTTTTGTGTGTGCCACACAGAAGTTTTAATTTTCCTCTGGGAATTCTGGCCTTCCCTCCGAGACAGCGTCTATCCAAATGTGTGGTGGGTTTTAAGCCCTTCATTTTAGGAAGTTACTTTTCTTTTCCCTAAGAGAATCTGCCCTATGAAATGTAGCTGTATCTACTGATTCTATTTTTAGAGTTTTTGTCATTCTTTATTTTGTCCTTCCTGCTCCCAATCACATGCACAGTTTACGATTGAAGAGGGCTTTTTTAAGCTTCCAGGCTGTTTACTTATCATGTGATTCAAAAATCAGTCTGGATGCTTCAATAACTGCACGGGAGGTATTGTCATCCCTTACCTGGGCTCCGGTGTTGTCCACGGACTCTTGTTTAATTTTTACCTGCCTTATTCTGTTACTTTTACTCGCCTTCTAAGTAAAATTATTTGAGTTCATTGAGTGCGGACTATTAAGAAGGTGATAGTGTCCTCAGGATTGAATGCCATTACAAGTCGCTGCTTAACCTAAGATCAGAAAATTACCTACCTAAACACTCTTCAGTCTGGTTGGGGTCTTTTCAGCTGATGCATGTGTTTTTAAGAAGCATAACAACCAAAATGAAACATAAAAAAACATTTCTGGAGTCTGAATTGAGACACTGTGCACAGGAGGAACAGGGCTGAGTGAGGAGATGCAATCTTGACTCTATAGGGAAGAAACAAAACAAAACAAAATGTCGGGTTTTTGTTATCTGTCCAGAGAAGTCTGAAGTTTCTGAGAGATTTGAGAAATCTTAATTTGCAGAACTTGGTGACATTTAACCACAAGGCTCATTATCTCTCCGTGTCTGTCATCTAAAATAACAAAAGGCATCCATCTATTGTGTAAATCTGTTCACGCAGATATTGGCTTATATTCTGGCCATTTTATCTCTCTACCAACACTCCCCTTGATTAAAGGAACCCAAAGGCTATTGCAGTTCATCTTGACTAACACTATGTTTCTTCCTGTTCCTCCTCTATTCTGTGTGGGGTTTTTTGAGTGGTTTCAATCTACTAAACAATAATTACCCCAAACCAGTAGTTTTTAAAAAAATTTTTAATGTTTGGTTTTTTTTAAAACTTGAAAATGTGGCTTCTTTAGCTAGTCCAGTGTTGTAATTAATTTTTCTTCTGTGATACCATTTAGGGTAACATTTGCTTTCATTCTCTGTGCTTTGAAGGATGCAGCTGCTGTGCTTTGCCACACCGCAGGAGACGGTGAGGCCTGTAGAAGACAGCTAGCTTCCTGAGGAGTGTCCTTAAGGGACCCATGGAGTTGCTCGTATTGCAAAACAAAAAATTGCGAGTGTCACCAAGAGCCTTTAACTAAAATGAGATCTGTCTTTCTTAGGCATGGGAGAAGTACATGGTAAAGGACAGTCCTTATCGTGAATAAAATCACTCAAAATAGGACCTAAGTTGCTCACATCCTGAAATACTGTGTACCCCGGTCCCCAAAGCAACTTTGCCATGGCTGAAGAATTCATACCGCCCTTCCTGACTCTCTACCTTTTACTTACAAGACTATCCTACCTACTTACAGTCTTCCCATAAACTTTAATGAATACAGCTGAATTTTATAATCTGAAATGCTTAATTTTTTTTTTTTCGTATGTGCCCCAGTTTTGTACAACTGTCAGCTTTGGCGCTTTCTGATTGCATCTTGAAATACACTTATTTCTATTTGACTCCAGTAACATGCTCACTAACTGCTAATAGCGTTAGTTCTGTGAAGACCCTGACAACCCTTCAGGCAGGCGCATTTAACCCTGTGAGGGGGAGGAAGGTGGGAATTTGGTTGCGTGTCAGAGCTGGCAGTGCCATCAGGACTTCTCCTGAGAGATCATGCCTCTCCTTTTGTCTGAGCAGTCACGTTTCCACTGACGTTTTGTCCTGTTCGCTGTGCTAAAAATATATTAAATGAATAAGTAGGAAAAGATGGTTCCTTTTGACGGTGATTTTACTGGAGGCTGTGCCAACTGGAAAATAGGCTTCCAAGTAATTCCTCCAGTTTTGCTCCAAAGGCACGTATGATGCATGGCGACTTAGGGGGTGGCTGCAAGAGACCCCTGTTCTCTGTTCTCTGCTGTAAAACAATGTTGTGTAATAGCTAAAAATAATGATCTTTTCTAGGATGCAGGGGGGTCTGTAGCACAAAGAAATCAGATAGTTTTTCCAAGAAGGAAAGGTGAGCTCCTCCTTTAAGGGTAGACGGCACCATGCGCTGAGCATGAGTGAAAGGAAAAATAATTATTCAGCTTAAACTACCTGAAAGAAAGCTGCTGCTTCTCATCGCTTAAGCATGTATTTAGTCATCCTGTGTTAGTCAGTGTAATTACGGAGGCTACAGAACTAATTCCAGATAGTAACCAGTGTTGAAATGTACAATTTAGGCTTAAAAAATAATTGATTTAAATCAGATTTTCCTGCAAGTTAAGAGAGCTCCAATCTGATTGCCTGCTACCGCAATCAGACACTGCTCTGCGCTCAGGGCTTTTTTGGTCTCCCCTGCTTGCTTTCTCATACCACGTTGGCAAGCTGCAACAAGTGAAACTCCACCCTTCCTACAGACTGGGGAGAATAAAATGCATAAACGGCGACTGCTGGCGAGTAAAATGAGGGTTTCTGTGAAGGTGCTGGTTTTCCAGACAGTCGCTGGTGTGCAGCTGAGAAAGGGGCGGGATCCTTTTCAAGTAGCTTAGTTGTGATTTGCTGAATTCATAGACTTTTCCCCTTAAAATCCCAACCCTCTTTCTTTTTTCCTCTTTTTTTTTTTTTTTTTTTTTTTGAGAAGTTGACTTGCGGCTACTTCTTAGTGCGCACGTCAGCTGTAATCTGGTCCCCAGTGCCTTGCGCTGATACCATGAGTTCAGAGGCTGATGAACCCAAGGAAGGTACGTTTTTTAACTGTTTTCACAGGAGAGGAAACGTGCATGCTCGCGTCGCCAGCACCGCTTTTGTGAGTGCGGAGGAGAGTTTCTGCTCACTTTAGCTTTCGGGTGTTCAAAGGGGAGGGGAAAATGCCTTGGCAAAATCATCCGAAGTCCTGCTGATTTCTCTGGATATGAAATGACCGAAGCGTTGGCACCCAGGGATATCTGTCTCGGCAATGGTGATTTACCTGCACGTGAAATACTGATAAGTGGAAGATATAGTGTTTAAAAAAACTGGTACTAGAATATCGAAAGAGGAAGATGTTTTTAATTTGGAGGCACTGTATTTTTCAGCAAAAGAGGAAGTTGCATGGGGGAGAAGTGAAAGGTCATTGTTTTGGGAATAAGCTTGATGCCGCTTACTTCCCTGTCCGAATGAGTGTGCATGCATGCGTGTGCGTGCACGCATGTGCGTGTGTTAAGGCTCAGTGGAGTGTGCCAAAGCTACAGGGTTTCATTTACTGCTTCTAGAGTGTAACGTGTGGAGGAGCTGGAAGTGCTCCAACAAAAATACGATTATTCACTAGTGTTGATTGGGAGGGGGTGCGAGCCAGAGTAGGACAGTAGGGAGCAAGCGGGGGAGGAGGAGGGCAATTTCCTGAAAGTGCCTATATACAAAAGAGCATTTATACAGAAGAGGGAACAGGGCAGTAGTGGCGTTATACACTGGATTTCTTAGAACAGAATTGATGTTTCATGGTTACAAATAGTCCTTAGGGACACTCAAACTTACAGAGATCCAGTATGGCTCAGAAAAATAATGTAAAAACCACAACAGATGAGCAAGGAGTAAGGCAACCTAAGCATTTTGTATTTGATGAAAAGAAAAAAATTTCAGAATATTTCAGATGGTTTTCCCCTCATACTCGGTACAACCTCCTCCGCTTGGAGAATAACATTAGCAGGGACCTCTATCTGCTTACTTGAGTAAAAGAGTATTTTGTTGATTTGCAGAAAAGTCAGCCTGGACTGAATCAAACTTAATGCTAATAATGCTGCTAGAACCTAGTAATGAAGCATGATAGCCTATGTTTTGATAAGAATTACAACGATGCTCTCTGTTTTCTTTTTCTTCTTTCTTCTCATCGAATGAACAGATGAACTAAAAGGTAGCTTTTATTTTTTTTCCCAGAAGATTCTGTAGGACAGATTTACTGAAAAGCAGAACTGAAAAAAAAATTTCTTACAGAAACTGTTTGAAAAGGAGAATATGTGAATGAATATGTGAATATTCTCCCTCAGTTTTACAGCAGGAGAGATCAGCATGCATGCCATAGCGTGAAAGATCCTCTGGTTTACATACAGGAAACTCCAGACAATTTTACCAAGCTGGCCATATTTGAAATGTAAATTTTCTTTTTTAAAGAAACCTCTTACCTTCTTAGATGATTCAGATTCTTAAAATCCTCTGAAAATATTTTTGCCTTTCTGTGCATTTGTTTTGAAACAATTTGAGATGCCAGGATCTTCATGCTGAAAAAAGCATTTGGAGCAGGTGGCTGAGACAGGAAGGAAAGGGTAGCTTTTTGGTTAGTTATTTTTAGCTGGGAAAATATTTGGGTTTTGCTGTCCTGTGATTTTAATAGGTTAGAATGGAAAATAAAATCAGTAGCCATTGTGGGAAGATGAGGTACAGATACCACTGAGAAGGTTTTTCAGTTGGTCTGTAAATGTATTCCTGGTAATATACTCCCATCTGTAAAGGAGTAATTTAGAAGATGCATGAGAAAAGGGTGTTTAGTGTGTATGTGAATAAAGACTGGGATTAACAGATGAATATGTAGAACTGCAGCTTTTACACTACTTTGCCTAGTCTGATTGAACATGGCATGAAAGATCGTTGATCAAAATACTGAAAAATACAGTCAAATACCTGTGGATTTGTAGTGGCCCAGTGTATGAGGCGTAAAACAGGCATTCAGAGTCTTTCAACTAGCTCTATTTCATCAAGAAACTCTGCTTTTTGCATAAAGAAAATGGATGCTTCACAAATTCAAATTGAATTTAGGCCTCATGCTTTTTACACTGAGGAAATATAATCTTTTAAGTGGTTTACCAAAGGGGGATGGTTAATTTTTCCTTTAGGTGCAAGACTGAACGTCACTCTCTGACTTACCCACAAATTATGGGGCCCAGCCGGGGAATTAGTAGATAAAGGTCTGTGACTGATTATGGAAGGGGTAGAGGGTACATTTGGACAATTATACAGTAGTTACTTTACCAAATTGTGTACATTTTAAGGCCAAAGCTAGTGATGAAAGCATAGTGGTTAATCTGCTACATGCTAAAAAGTGAAAGGAGGAGAAAGCTACAGGAAAAATGTTATTTTAATGTTGTTTGTAAGCAAAGGCAGAACTTTTCTATTTCCCTTAAGGCAGAGATGCTCAGGTGGCCAGGGAAGCATCACTGGCTAGGAGCAAGGGAAGGGATATACAAGGAGCTCTGAAATCCAGTTGCAGCTTCCAGGCGTGACTCTCAGACCATGTGTTGGAAGATCAGCCTGAATGAAAACGAGGGTTGAGGGCACATTAATAGCATCGAACATCGTGTATGTTCTGACAATGATCTGATACTGACGTGAGCAATACTTCACTGCCTGCTACTTTATACAAGTGAATTGCAGTATTTGAAGAACATCGGGATGTCTATAAAAGTGGATTTAATGGGTTAATATGGATTGTTTTTTAAAATCTACATAACAAGGTCAAAGACCATAGGTTTTACTACTGTAAAAATGAACTATGGCCATTGTTACAGTGAAACCCAAAATCAAGGTCAATTTTGAATGGCTAACTCCTGAAGATTTTCTTTTTTATGATTAACTGAATAAAGGTAGAGTCTTTGACCTCAAGTCAAATCTTTTTTTTTTAGCAGGAACTGGGAGTAAAAAGACATTGCTAGAAGACAATCATTACTTCACTGTATTTTGTACTAATTGCTGGGTACGGGGTATGCAGCAGTGTATCTGGGCTTTTCAGCTTCTGCCTTTGATCTCTGCGTGGTCCGTATTAGAACAGTAACACGAAATGGTTTTTTTTCTCCTGTCATGCTGCTTAGTAACATTAGAACAACCTTTGTATTCATCTGTGTTCCACAATGCTGTGGTAAATAAGTGTGTGTGCATGTGTATGTGTGTTGATGCGTGTATGGCATCAATCTGTATTGCATTTACAGATTCCAACAACTGCCATGATATAAATAACCCTGGCATATTTTCTTGTAGTTACTTTTGCGTTGGATGAAACAAAGAGCATGGTAAAGTCAAGAAAAAGGCTATAGCATTTAACTGCATGGCATAATTTCAATCTGGTGTTGCATGGTGGCATGTCATGTGTTGAGGAAGGTAACAAATGGTTTCAGGCTGTTATTTGGCTTAATTCCATTCTGCAATCTGAAGCAAGTGTTCTTAATACTGTCATATTAAAAATACATATCATGAATATACCTTTTTAAATACATGCCAATTAAATGTTAAATAGTTAAAATTATTGTGGTGTTAATGGATTCCTTGCATAGTATTTCTTCAATAGAAGGAAATAGTAATTTATGTAAAGCTTCAGAAAACTTCAGCTCTACGACAGTTCTGCAGGTTTTATGTTGTATATTTGGAAAACAACAGGAGATAAATCTAATGTCTCAAAGGAAAAGTAAAATAATAACAGATATCAGAGTAAATGTAATACATAGCCTATGAAACGATGGTACCACATTTCATGGGAGCGAGATCTCTCTGCATTCCTACAAATGCTCAGAGCTTTTTTAGACACAATTAGCATTTTTTAATTCAAACGAGATTACTGAGGAATGAGCTTACCTGTTTTGTTCCCTTTAGAGCTCAGAACAGAGACACAGGGATTATAAAATCACAGAGCACTCACTGTTTTGAGAAGTCAGTACTCCCTCCTGTAACTAGCCATGGATTTGCTTTGACATTTTGCAGTCAATTCTCATTGCGTGGCAGTTTTCCTGGGTAGAATCATGTTCATTTACATAACAAATTGTCTGCTCTTGTGCTCCTACAGGCCACCTACTCCATCCAAAACATCGATGGGCATCTGTAATGTATGATTCTGCATCCCACTATCTCCAAAACCAGCATTTGTTAGAACCTTTTATGCTTTTATGACAGCGAATGGGAAGATCCAAACTGTGCAAGTAGAGCGTTAGCCATACATAAATGCAACATGTACCAGGTGATGACAGTCCCATTTCATATTAACTTTTGAAGTTACAGACTGAGGTGGGTGTTGATCTCTTTTCCCAACAAGTGATAGGATGAGAGGAAACAGCTTCAAGTTGTGCCAGGGGAGGTTTAGATTGGATATTAGGAAAAAATGCTTCACTTCAAAAGGGTTGTCAAGCACTGGACCAGGCTGCCCAGGGAAGTGATTGAGTCACCATCCCTGGAGGTATTTAAAAGATCTGTGGATGTCGCACTTAGGGACATGGTTTAGTGGGACTTGGCAGTGTTAGGTTTACGGTTGGACTCGATATGATCTTAAAGGTCTTTTCCAACCAAAATGATTCTATGATTCTATATTTAGAATAAACTGTATGAAAACTATGAGATTAAACAGAAATGGCATGTCTCAGTGTCCACTTCCGAACCCAAATCTGAATGGTTTTATCTGAATTGTGGTAGCTTTGACAGCTGCCAAAGTTAGAGATTGTCTCCTTCTCTTTTGTGGAGCTAATTTTTCCAGTACGAAGCCACAGGAAAGCAGCACAGACCATTAGGACTTACTCTCACATGTTAGACTCACCTCCTGCTCTCACTCTGAAGACTACAAAATGTGGGCTTCCTTTGTTTCACCTGCTCTTTACCTACCCTCCCTTGTCAAAACAACAATCTCCATAAAACATTAAGGCCAGTGAAAGAGGAGCTTTTTGTTCAGAGTAGTCTGAAGAGTTCTGTTCAGGAGCAGGAAGAATCATCTTGCCCCAATGGATGTGTCAGAGAT